CAGGGAGTCTCAGCCATGTCATGCCCCTGGCCGACCAATCCAGTCGACCGGGGGACATGGCTTGCAGTATTTAAAGAGCTGTGTGGCTGGGGCTGTGTGGTCCTGTTAGCTAGGGATTATGGGAATTGTAGTCCCAAAACATCTGGAGGACCGGAGTTTGCCTATGCCTGCTTAGACTCAATGGTACATAAGTGTGCTTAACTATGTGGTGGATTTCTGTTTATTATTGATGATGGATTTCCACCATCTATTTCAGGCTATGGTTTATAATCCAAACTATAGATTCCTTTTCGAAACGAGTAAAACAAGATGGCTATTTCTTTTGAAAAAAGGTTATCTGCTAATGTATTCATTCCCAAACTGGTGCCATCCAGACAGTTTGGACTACAACTTCCATCTAGCACAGCTAGCAAAGCATTGGTGCTTCAGGACGATAGCCATTGTATTCCAACCCACCTGAAGGTCACCTGCTAGGGAAGGCTGTGCCAATATATAGAGGGTCTTTTGCCTTTAACATTGCGACAACCACCTGTTAAATACTTTTGCTATTATACTTATTTTGACAGGTAGGGAACTCTGGAATTTTACAGGGAGAGAACGTAGGAAACTGCGTCTTATCCAATAAATATTCATGGCTTTCAGCCACAGGCCATTGCAAATACAAGAAAACGCTTGTTGGCAGAGACATAAAACATGGATTAAAAATATACTCCCATTTAAAATGCAGCCGAAAAGAAAACAAACCCGAAAGCTTCCTGGGGTTACTCTTAGATTTAGCTTGCTCAAGTCAGTGAGTCACTTTTACCGAACCACCACTGACATTCAGTTCAAGATTCTCTCTTGGGTTTTCTTTGAGAAGGGGAGTAATAAAGATACACGTCAGGGAAAAGGAGGGAGTGAAGATCTACACCAGGAGGCCGGATCTGTTACCCCTGCGGTTTCTGTGGTGTAGTGGTTAAGAGCGGTAGTCTGCTAATCTGGGGAACCGGGTTCGCGTCTCCGCTCCTCCACTTGCAGCTGCTGGGTGACCTTGGGCCAGTCACACTTCCTTGAAGTCTCTCAGCCTCACTCACCTCACAGAGTGTTTGTTGTGGGGGAGGAAGGGGAAGGAGAATGTTAGCCGCTTTGAGACTCCTTAGGGTATTGATAAAGCGGGATATCAAATCCAAACTCCTCCTCTTCTTCTTCTTCTTCTTCTTCTTCTTCTTCTTCTTCTTCTTCTTCTTCTTCTTCTTCTTCTTCCTAAGGCAGTTTCCTCACCTTGTCTCACGGGTGGGCCAGCCCTGCCAAGAGCTCCTGGGTGTGTTGCAGAGCTGCAAGCTGAAGCTCTGCTTATCATGCAATACAGAAGCTGTGGTTCCCTGTTGGTTCGCAAGATGATCTTTTGTGTGCGTCTTGGTTAATTCAAGATCATTAGGTTCTTAATGTCTGTAATTGATGCAGGAGGGTGCGGGGGGCTCGGCTTAATTTTGCTATGTGGAGATTATGGCTTGTAACTTTTGCCTACCTCTCGTTTTGCAGGAATGTCAGTTCGGATGGAGCGGAAGCGCGCAGGAGGCTCCGGGAATGCGACGGCTTGGTAGACGCCCTCCTTCATGCCCTGCAGTCTGCGGTGGGCAAGAAAGACACGGATAACAAGGTGATTCTGCTCTCTGGTGCTGGTGTGAATAGACACTTAGTGTGGCTTAAGCAAATGTGGGTTTCTTGATGTGGGGGAAATACAGGATGCATTGAAGGTGAGGGGGCGAGGTCTAGCTGGGAACATCTGCTGGCTTGAAAGATGCTTGTGTTCACAGATGCTTAAAGGCAGCCAGGCCTACTAGAGGAAAGCCTTTATCTCAGTGCAAGCTGGTCCATTAGGAGGAATTGGGGCCAATGACCCACCTAGCTCGGTCTGCCTGCATCCAGCCCCCACATACTGGCTTCCTCCATACTGAAGGAGCGTCTCCACCCCCATCGTTCAGCCCTGACACTGAGGTCCAGCTCTGAGGGCCTTCTGGAGGTTCCCTCACTGCGAGAAGTGAGGTTACAGGGAACCAGACAGAGGGCCTTCTCGGTGGTGGCGCCCGCCCTGTGGAACGCCCTCCCATCAGATGTCAAGGAAATAAACAACTATCTGACTTTTAGAAGACATCTGAAAGCAGCCCTGTTTAGGGAAGTTTTTAATGTGTGATGTTTTATTGTGTTTTTAATATTCTGTTGGGAGCCACCCAGAGTGGCTGGGGTATAAATATTACTACTACTACTACAACCAGTCCAGGGTGTGTGCTGGCGATCAGCTTCCCCTCTCCTACTCCATAGGGTAGGACCCGATCCAGTAGATTCAAATCACAAGAAAGGAGATTCTGAGTAAGCATTAGGAAGAGATTTCTGATGTCAAGAGCCTGTTTGACGGCGGAACAGGCTATTTTGGAAGGTGGTGGGTTCTCTAAGCAGAGAATTTGTCATGGATTCTTGAGCTGGGATTCCTGCATTGCAGAGAGATAGACTAAACAGCCCTTGGGGTCCCTTCCAGCACTACAATTCTGTGATTCTATGATTCCTCCTCCTTAGTCTCCATGTTGCCCTTGTAGAGGAACAGGGAGACATTACATGTGCTTCAATTGAGATTCCTGCATTACAAGACTAGATGGTTCTCAGCTCTACAGTTCTATGATTCTATGAAAACTAGAAAGAGTTGGCTGTGCCTGTCATGGGTTCTGACTCAATCTACTGTAGGGCTCCCTGCTTTCCACCCCACCCATCCCAATGGACACCAGCCACCACCGATTAATACTGGACTGCTGTTATCGACAGGCATAAATGTATTTTCTTCCCAAACAGTGGAGTTTGGGAGGTGCTTCCACCCAGGGCCAGATTTAGGTTTGGTGAGGCCCTAAGCTACTGAAGGTAATGGGGCCCTTTATACAGTGGTACCTCAGGTTACAGATGCTTCAGGTTACAGACGCTTCAGGTTACAGACTCCGCTAACCCAGAAATAGTACCTTGGGTTAAGAACTTTGCTTCAGGATGAAAACAGAAAGCTAAAGTGGTACCTCAGGTTAAGAATAGTTTCAAGATAAGAACGGACCTCCAGAACAAATTAAGTTCTTAACCTGAGGTACCACTGTATTGTCCAGCTGTCCTTTGTCAACAGCAAATTGTCACTGTTTTTTGTGTTGAATATATGCGATATGGTCATTTATGGACCTAATAGGTATCTAAAGCCATTTGCACATGTTGCCGTGCAACCAATCCATGCAGAATGTAGGTACTCTATATATATAAATGAGCAAACCAGTGATATTTTAGGGAGCAGGCTAGCAGGTGAGGCCCATTACTTACATCATAGTAGCCTACACAACAGAAAACACTGTTGCTATATGTAGGTTTTAATTTATTTGTTTTTTATATATTGGAAATATACATCCAGTTTTTTCCCTTTGGACCTTTTTTGGGGGCCCCAAGAGAGTGGGGCCCTAAGCTATAGCTTGTTTAGCTTACACATAAATCTGGCACTGCTTCTACCTACCCCACCCCTCCCCCCTGGTAACAGCTTTCTGCAGTATCATACAGAGGTCTTTCGCAGCCCTGCTGAGCAATGCTGGTGGATTAGAATCACAGAACCATAGAATTGTACGAGACCCTGGCCCAACCCCACCCCTGCAATGCAGAAATATGCAGCTGCCCCACGCGGGGATTGAACTTGCAACCTCCGCATCATATGCACCATGCTCTAACCAACGAAGCTATGCAGGCTGAAGCTGGGACCATCTGCATGCATAGTAGATGTTGTGCCACAGTCTCAACCCTGGCTGTTGTTGGTCATTGGCCTCTGTGCCGAAAGAACAAGACTCATAACATGTTGAGTCTCTCTTTTTCCCAGCCAGGGCATTCAGCGGAGATTTAGTTGCATGGGGCGGGTGGGTGGAGGGGCCCGTTTCCGGGTGGGGGGGTACCCTATGGGATTTTGATGCTCTTTTTGTTCTTCCTCAACTCCTGCCAAGCCCCTGATGAATGACCCCCGCTCTGGAGGCTGAGGCAGTGGCCTTTCTGCCTCCCGAGAGACTCATTAGCTGCAGACTGAACCTAGGGGGCCTCTTACATAAAATGTGTGTTTTCCATCACTGAGCTGCAGCAAAAAAAAAAAGGGGTGCTTAAAAATTTGCAAGTGACTTCCCTTGATGAGGTTTTGTTCATTAGGGGAAGGAACAGAACTCGGTTATAGTCAAGCTGCTTTTCACGCAGAAGGTCCCGGGTTCATTTTACGGCACCCCTGCAAAAAAGAAAAAGGAAAAAAGATTTAATAATAATAATAATAATAATTTATTATTTGTACCCCGCCCATCTGGCTGGGTTTCCCCAGCCACTCTGGGCGGCTTCCACAGAGACCAGAAATACACTAAAATATCACACATTAAAAACTTCCCTGAACAGGGCTGCCTTAAGATGTCTTCTGAATGCCAGGTAGTTGTTTATCGCTTTGACATCTGATGGGAGGGCGTTCCACAGGGCGGGCGCCACTACCGAGAAGGCCCTCTGCCTGGTTCCTTGTAGCTTTGCTTCTCGCAATGAGGGAACCGCCAGAAGGCCCTCGGCGCTGGACCTCAGCGTCCGGGCAGAACGATGGGGGTGGAGACGCTCCTTCAGGTATACTGGGCCGAGGCCGTTTAGGGCTTTAAAGGATGGGAATGACTCCATTTCTCCCTGAGAGCCACTGACTGTGTCATGCTGGCACAGCCCCCTCCAACCTGGTGCCCTATCGATGTTTTGGACTACAACTCCCATCAGCCCCTTCCTCATTTGCTGTGGTTGATGGGAATTGCAGTCCAAAAACCGCTGGATGGTACCAGGTTGGACAACGGCTGGCGTACGCCATACTGAGCAAATAGTCTCACCTGGTTTAAGCAATTTCCTATGTCTGCTTGTTTTTCGCATCTTCAGTGGTGTAAGATAATTGCTGACCACTCTGATGGCTTTTCCTCTCCCCCCCCCCTTTTTGGGCGACCGCCTTGCCATAGTCTGTGGAGAACTGTGTGTGCATCATGAGGAACCTCTCTTACCATGTCCACAAAGAAGTCCCGGGAGCGGACAAATTCCAGGAGCTAGAAGCAAATCAACTTGGAGGCCTGGGAGGAACTCAGAAGAAGAAGAAGGATGACGCAGGCTGCTTTGGAGGAAAGAAGGCCAAAGGTATGTGTTGCTGCAACCCTGAAGCAATGGAGTCTGCTCCATTGGGGCAAACAAGGCACATCTCCACCAACCTCACTCTTGAGTTCTCCAATCCCACCTGCCTTCTTGTTTATGAGTCAAGGAGTGGCACTTACTTGCCATCTTCTTCTTCCTCCTCCTCCTTCCTTCTCAATGTTGCCCTTTCAGAACTCAGCAGGGAGGAGACCGTGTGCAAAACGAGAATTGGTTGGCTCAGCCTCTCATTGGCTCTGGCGCCACCTGCTGTTCGCCTCCTTGCCTCCTGCCCTACCAGTGCCCTACCAGCCATAACTGAAAGCCAGAAGCAAAATGCTTGTGTTCACATCGTACAACCCAGCTTGTCCGAGGGCCAGCCTTTTGCACTTGGATCCTGGGTGTGTGTGTGTGTGTGTGTGTGTGTGTGTGTGTAGCTGCCCCTTGCCCTGCCCTGTTTGAAGAGGCACTTCTGTCTCTTTCTTCTGAACCTTCCAACAGTCAGCTTCATGGGACAACCCATGAATTTTATTCACCTCTATCGTGTCCCTACTTACTTGCCTTTTTTCTAAACTAAAAAGTCCCAGGTATCAGAACCTTTCCTCCTAAGGGAGTCGCCCCAATCCCTTGATCATCTTGGTTTTCCTTTTCTGAACCTTTCCTTCAGTAACTGTTTGGAAGCAAGGTGACCAGACCTGTATCCTGTATTCCGAGTGCGTTCGGCCATAGATTAGTGTAACAGCATTATGATATGGGCGGTTTAATGAATAATGGCATAGAAGATGATGAACTAGAGGCTGGGGAGTGAGGCTCATGCAAGCCCCAGTAACCCAACACTCAGGAATCTCTGGACCAGGTTGGCCCAGCATATTAAATGAAAGAGAAAAGGCACAATGGGAGGTGTGGTTTGCATTACACATCTAAATCAGGGTCAGTCTCTGGTACGTCACAAGCTTTTAACCTAATCTGTGCTGAACAGGCCTGGTGGCTACCGAATGTTAAGAATGTTATAGAATAAAGATCCATTGGTATGTAACACCCAGGCATTTCCATCCCTCCGTCACCCTGACCTTTGTAAACAGCTGCTTCGTATCTCTGATCCATGGGCCTTTTAACCCACTGATTCTGTTTCTGTTGTGTGAGAGTATATTGGAATCTGAGTGTGTCTGTACGTTTGAGCACAGTTGTGTTAAAGGGTGAGAGGGAAGCTGCTGGAGAAGATTCGAAGGCAGAAAACCAGGATCAGAAGCAGCAGATTGCAGTTGGGAGCTCACACAGAGCCTAGAGTTGTATCCAATATAGCACTAGGTTTATGATTTGATTTCTTTATTTAATTTATTGATATACACTTTAGGCAGTCCCATTAAGCAGGCTGCAGAATAGCAAAATAAAATATATACAACAACGGAACTCAGAAACTAGGTTAGAATGCAATGCATTGCAATAGTAAATAAAACTGTGATCGAAACAATACATTCCTAAAAACTGACAACAGAGCAGAGCATTTTGAAACGTCTTTAGAGTCATGGATCCCTTCCTGCTTCAGCCTCCGTCTTGGCAAAGCACATTGTGGCTCACGAAACGCTACACATCACCCCCAAATTCTGCCTTACATCTACTGAAATTGTACAGTGGTGCCCCGCAAGACGAATGCCTCGCAAGACAAAAAACTCGCTAGACGAAAGGTTTTTCCGTTCGCGATTTGCCTCGCAAGACGAATTTCCCCTATGGGCTTGCTTCGCAAGACGAAAACGTCTCGCGACTTTTTTTCTTTGACTAAAAACAAAGACATGTTTTGTTTATAAAGTTAATTTATTTTCCCTTAAATTTTTGAACTGCTCTTTACAGTATGTGTGACTTTAAAGAGCAGTTAATAAACTGTTGTTGTACCAAATTTGGCTTTGTTTGGACTTTTTTTGACCATAGGAACGCATTAATTGATTTTCAATGCATTCCTATGGGATTTCGTGCTTCGCAAGACGAAAAATTCGTTAGACGACAAAAATTGCGGAACGAATTAATTTCGTCTTGCGGGGCACCACTGTACAGTGCTTACGACTCATTCCGTTACCACTCTTCCTATTCTACTCACACACCTCACATGCACCCACCAGTATGCACAAATGCAGGTGGCGCTGTGGTCTAAACCACTGAGCCTCTTGGGCTTGTCGATCAGAAGATTGGCAGTTCAAATCATTTCAATGGAGTGAGCTCTCGTTGCTCTGTCCCAGCTCCTGGCAACCTAGCAGTTCGAAAGCACGCCAGTGCAAGTAGATAAATAAGCACTGCTGTGGCAGGAAGGGAAACGGTGTTTCTGTGCGCTCTGGCTTCCGTCATGGTGTCCCATTGCACCAGAAGCAGTTTAGTCCTGCTGGCCACATGACCCGGAAAGCTGTCTGTGGACAAACGCCGGCTCCCTTGGCCTGAAAGCGAGATGAGTGGCGCAACCCCATAGTTGCCTGTGGCTGGACTTAACCATCCAGGGGTCCTTTATCTTTACCTTTTACCTTTTTACAAACACACCATTCATGCAACCACTCCAGAATCTCCAATTCTCGGCCACTAACCACTATCACAAGTCTCTCCTTTGACTCAACGAAACAATTCACTGCAAAAATGGAGAGGAGAGGACAGGAGAGGGTTAAAGTCACTTAGTGATATATTTGTTCTTGTTCTGCTGGTGGTGCCCTCCAGAACTTGCTGCACCACAACTCCAATCAGTCCTGATTGTTGGGTCATACTTGCTAGGGCTGTTGGGAACTGTAGCACAATCACATCCAGGGTGCACCATGCTGGCTTTCCTTGGCACAGGAGCTTAGCCTACTTCAACCCCACCCCAAGCTCTTTTGATGTTTGTAGAAGAAGAAGAAGAGTTTGGATTTGATATCCCGCTTTATCTCTACCCGAAGGAGTCTCAAAGCGGCTAACAATCTCCTTTCCCTTCCTCCCCCACAACAAACACTCTGTGAGGTGAGTGGGGCTGAGAGACTTCACAGAAGTGTGACTAGCCCAAGGTCACCCAGCAGCTGCATGTGGAGGAGCGGGGAAGCGAACCCGGTTCCCCAGATTACGAATCTACCGCTCTTAACCACTACACCGCACTGGCTCTCAAAATCAAACAGAGAAAAGTGGACTCTCCTTTTTTGCAAGTAACGAGTGTGGTATACACCATGGGGGCAAGTGTGTGTGTTTTTCCCTCTTCAGGAATTCAGAGTTGCTATTTACCTGTAGCTCTTGGGTTTTGAACCTGTTCTGTGAAAATCCTGCAACTGATTGTTCGTCTGTTTCCCCCTCTCGCTTTCCTCTTGAAAACATTTGTTTCTTTTTTTCTTCTTTGGCTGCTTTTGTGGTTATTAGAGGAGTGGTTCAATCAAGGTGAGTCTTTTCTACGTTTCTTCTCTGACGTCGCTGTCCTTCCCCCTTTCCTCTTCCCGTATATGCAGAGGCGGAAACTGGGAGCAGAGGTTGGCTCCCCCCTGCCGCCCCTCCCCGGTTCCCAAGGTGTGTTGCTGCTATGATGCCCCATATCCCACTTGTTTTTTGTAGATTGCAAATTCCTGTGATGAATTCAGACTGCTCTGAGTTACTCTTCTTCTAGTGTGATATGGAGGAGAGCTACTCTTAGAAGACCTTCCCGTGGCCAGTCCATTAGGGCAAGTGGGGCTCTGCTTCCCCCAAGCAGTAGTGTAGTGGCAAATCCAGAAATGGAGGCTCCCTCCAGGATGGTCTCATCCATACCCCCTCAATAATCTTCTAATTCTCCAATAATAATAGCTGGGAATGCATTGCAATGATCATTACAGATCTCCCAACCCCATGCCCTGTGCCAGGAGTGGAAAGCTGCCTTTCAGCTAGATTTTCTGTGCACGTACACGGGCAAATGATTTGGAGTGCTCCAATATCTTATTTCAGTGTGACTTAAGATGTGTTTTCCTTGAATTTCCATTGTACATAACAACTAGCATGCCATTCTCTTGAAACTGGAGTGCCTTGTGTTTTCAGTGTTCCTATAAATGCTTAGTTCTGGAGCATTCGGTACAAGTCCTCCTTGAGATTTTTCCCACGGAGCTTCTCCAGTGTGACCCTAGGAGCCAATCCTCAATGGTTAGCTCACTTCATTTTTTGCTGATGGACTCCGATCAGCACAAAGTGTGGCAATACTCCTTCTCAGTGGCTAAAAAGCTCCCCTTTCATACTGACTGGATGGCTCTAGGATGCTGGAGACAAAAAAACTACTGCAGAAATAGTAATTGGTCTGGGCCACTACACCTCTGCCTCCAAACCCATCTGACTTGTTACTTAGATCCAGTCCAGAACCTGCTCTTGGCTGTCCAGTGCCCTGGGACAAGTACGGAGGCCTGGAGGGCACATTTGGCCTAGCCCAAAGCTTCCCAGCCCTGGCATGGGAAGCACAAGATAGGAAATGGCCCCAGTATCCTTTTGCGTGCATGTCCTCCCAAAACTTGAACCCACACTCCACGTAGTTCCCAACCACCAGTGGGGTGGGGAGTTTTTCTGTCAGTACCAGCTGTTGTGATATGCTAGCATGGGAGTGTTCCATGTGGTAGGCAGAATCCATACTTTGAACAGGATTTGTGAATGCTCTTGTGCTCAGCTCCTGTTTGCATGCTTCCTGCGGGCATCTGACTGGTCACTGTGAGATGGGGCACTGGCCTAATGAAGCCAAGGTCTCCTTGTGTTCTTGGTGCCATCCATTGGTTTGGGATGCACCCAGATGCTGAAGCCATTCCTCCAGCTTCTGTGTGGTGGTCACCATGGCATCCTGTTAGATTCCAGTGATGTGGCCCTCCAGATGTTGTGGGACTCCAGTTCCCATCAGCCACAGCTAGCGTGGTCAGTAGTTTTTACAACATCTTGAGAGGCACAGGTTTCTCCATGAGCATGTAGATCTCAATGCAAAAATCAGAGCAAGTGCCTATTTCTGGATTTCTTGGTTGGAAAGGTTTTGTTTTACTACTAAAAGGTTAGAACTTCATTTGTAAATTCAGCCTTTCTCATCTTTTCTCAGTGGCCAGAGCAGGGGATAATGAAAGTATGGCGATTGTTTATATGCTGGGAATCAGATGTACTTGACAGCCCCCTGTTTCAGAAAATATGGCGTTCAAGAAGCTTTTAATTTCACGGCTTGAGAGATTGCAAATCGTTTATTATACAACCAAGTTTCCTGTCAGGCAGCCCTTCCTGTCCCCAAGGTCTTTGCCAGCTCTGATAGCCAACTCCCATAAAGCAGGCCTGTCAGCTGCCATCTTAAAAGCTGTCTTTCTTCTGCTGAGGGCTTGAGCAGCGCTTCTCGTCTGAAAATATACCTCTGTCCCCTTTGGGACGGGGCCCCTGGGTGTTGTCAGACGCCACTTGATGGTGGGGAGAACGAGAGGAGCGAAGAGGAGGGAGAGGATACACTGTAAAGACAAATCTGATGTGCCAGAACTCCTGACAGCTGCTGAGTGCCACATAGGTTAGGCCTGGCATTGCTGAACTCTGAGGTAAACCCAGGGCAGGGGCAGGGAGAGAGAGAACAGCCCTGGATTTCCCTAAACTTTTCCTCAGGAATTTAAAAGCCTCTAAGACTGCTGATACGTTGGTCTTCTTCCAAAATACTGCATCCTGAGGTGCAGTTAGGTCAGGGGTGAGGAGCCTTTATCTTGCTGAGGGCCTTATTCCCTTATGGACAACTTTCTAGGGCTGGGTGGGGCCTGAGGGAAGCCTGGATGGCGCAATGGGTGTGAACCTTCCTTTTGTACATTAGGCTAGATTTCAACCACGCAAAAGTCACTTGGTTTTACACAAAGTGGCATAGCGTGGGTTGCTAGTGCCCGGAGCCACACAGAGTAGTGGTTGGGAAATGGATGAAGTACGCATGCGCGTTCAACTGCCTAACAGCGTCCGCATTACCCAGGACAGAGATAAGAAAAGAAGAGGCATTCTATTGTCTGGAGACAATAGTCCGCATGGAGAAGTCATTTTCAACGGAAGTGTGCGGTGATATTGAGGCAGCACACCTAACCATTTTGTGCCCGGTGGCAACCAGCCCTCTGCCCCCCATGCTACACTACTGCACACACACTGCCTCAGCACAGCTGCACACTTCCATTGCAAAAGGCAATATTCCCATTCCAGAAGGGATTCCCTACAGGCAAAAACTCACAGAGGGGTGGTAAGGGGTGTGGCTTATGGCGAAACTCAAGTCCCAGGTATAGAGACCTGGAGGATCGTGAGGTTCCCTACCCCCGAGTTAGGTAATTTTAAATTCTGGATTGAATGGTCTTATGGGGTGGTGGTCTTCACTTACTTCAAATTGTCTTCTCTTCTCCATGCCCCCCCCCCTTAGTAACATGTACTGTTTTGCTTGCTTCACTATGTGGTCAGCAAGCCCAGTTGCCTTTGGGTGACCCTTCTGCTCATTCTGCTGAGTGGGGGTCCTGGACCTCTGCCCCACATCATCACTTATTGCCTGCACCTGCATTCCAGCTATGTCGCTCTGCCCTCCAGCTGCTGGGATCAGGCCCCAGCTGAAGACCAAGACTGCATGGGACATTAAGCCCATCCAAGAGCTGCTGTACATTTACCAGCAGTAGAGCACAAGGAAGGGATGTCTGTGGTCTTCCGGGTGTTGCTTGACTTGCAGTTCCCATCAGCCTTCATGGCCAAAGGCCAGGGGAGGTGGCAACATCTGGTGTCCCACAGATTCTCCACCCCCTGCAATTAACTATGTAAAATTCCACCCAAGTGGACAGCGTAGCTTTTGCTGGAAGCCAAATGCAGCAGAACAGAAACAGCACTGCATGCAATCAACATGGGTTGGAATGGAAATCAATGCTTCCTCATCACGCACACCCTTAACAGGGAGCAAAGGTGTTGAAGCAGAGAAAAAGGGCGTAGGGATCTGCAGGGCAGTAAGACCAGGCAGTGCTTTGTGGAGAAAACAGAGTGTGTGCTTCAGGGGGGTGTGATGTTCTCCACTTTTGCATTCTACGTTCTCCCTTTCCTTCTCTCTTTCCCTCTCTTGCCTTCTGCCATAAATTCCTGTCATTTCCAAAGTGACAAGTTAAGAGTCCTCTTCTTAGAGAAGCATATGGGCTTAGCTGTCATCAGGGAAAAAAATAAAATAGTGGCGTTCTGTCCCAACAGCTGACATCTTGCCTCTTGGCTGTTCTGTTTGTCTCCCAAAGCAGGGTGCTGCTGTCTTGTTTTGAGTGGTCTAAAAGAAACAAAAACAAATAAGAATGAAGGATCTGGGAATCTTCTTCAGATTGCTATCATTGACCCTAGCCAAGTTTTTGTCAAAAAGCGAACAAGAGAGGCCAGTTGGGTGGGGAAGCGACTTTGGTTTTGACATGGAGCCTGTTCTGTCAACAGACACAAACAAACCAAGTTGTCTGGTTAAAAAAGTGATGGTTGGATTTAACGGGTCTTGAAACCCGGCAGCTAAAGTGTATGAAATATTGAAAAACTGTGATCAGACCTCCTGTTTCCATGGCAGAAAAAAAAAGGCAGGATATCAACTATTAATAATCATGAATATATATCAGGGACATCATGAAAGCAGGAAGATGAACCCCATTCTCCCCATGAACGTCCCCCACATTAGATGTTTAACATTGGGCCATGAGATATTTTGGTCAAAGACCAGAATTCTCCCCAAAGCATGTCCTTCCCATGTATTAGATGCAACGACAACTGAGCCAGTTTGAAACCAGCTTATGTTTGTAGTATAAACATGTCCTTGAATCTGATCAGACCTGCACATTGACATTTGTCAGTTTCAGATTTAAAACTTTGCTCTTGCGAATAAAGAGTATACCAACGCACATTTAAAAACACTTGACCTGTACTCTGGGAATGTTTTGGGGAAACTGGTTGCATTTTTCTGTATGTATCATGTTATTTAAATGGAATTAGAGGTAATGTTTTTTGGGATGCGGGTGGCGCTGTGGGTTAAAGCCTCAGCGCCTAGGGCTTGCCGATCGAAAGGTCGGCGGTTCGAATCCCCGCGGCGGGGTGCGCTCCCGTTGCTCGGTCCCAGCGCCTGCCAACCTAGCAGTTCGAAAGCACCCCCAGGTGCAAGTAGATAAATAGGGACCGCTTACCAGCGGGAAGGTAAACGGCGTTTCCGTGTGTTGCGCTGGCTCGCAAGATGCAGCTTTGTCATGCTGGCCACGTGACCCGGAAGTGTCTGCGGACAGCGCTGGCCCTCGGCCTCTTGAGTGAGATGGGCGCACAACCCCAGAGTCTGTCAAGACTGACCCGTACGGGCAGAGGTACCTTTACCTTTACCTTAGAGGTAATGTTTAGTTTTTTCTTCTGGTAGCAAAAATATTTGGGGAAGGCCCCATTAGAAGATGTGGGTTCCCCCCACTAACTCTTTGAGGCCCAGATAATGGCCACTGATTCTCTGAATGGTTGTTTTGTTTTGTTTTGTTTTGTTTTTCACTGTGGCCTTCTGTTTTTAGATGTTTTTATTGTTTTGTTGGTGCTGTGTTTGCCACCTGGGTTCCTTTTTGGAAGGAAGGGCAGGATTTTTTTTAAAAAAAGAGAGTGAAAAGGACGAATAAATAACTTTTAAAATAAATAAAGAAGTGAAACAAATTTAGGAGTAGGCCCGGTGGTTGACATTGCAGCAAGTCTCACTAACCAGTACATAAAAAATATGTGTTACCTTGGAATGTGAAGCCATGACAAATGTTTCCTTGCATGCCTCGACCTCTCCTGCAAATGGTGCACGCATGTGATGATGTTGTGTAATGTTGGGCTCTGTGCCCCATTTGTCCTCTTCTCTGGACGCAACAGTGACTGATTCAGGTTTATTCGTGTGCTGCTGATTCCTTTCATTGCTCATTCTTCTGTGTCGTGCACAGGGAAGAAGAACGGAGATGTGGACAGAAACTTTGATACACTGGATTTACCTAAGCGGTCTGAGTCAGCAAAAGGTAATGTGCTCGCGGGCGTGCTTTTTCAAAGATCAGCAAGGGGTGAGGGAAGAAGCATGCTCTTGAGGGGTCTTGCAGAGGGATTGAAAAACGCCACATTTATCCGTATCTTTCATGCTTCTTTAATTTCACTATTAAATGAGCGTTCAACGGCCGGTTCTGTTCCCGTCTATTATTTTGCTTTCTGATTGAATTGGTTTGGAGAAGACATAACAAGAGCTGAAGTCTTCTTTTGCAAACAATGTGCATTTTCCACTTAAAGGATTTTCCATTTAAAGGATTCTAACAATATTGCCTAACGTGTATGTGTGTGTGTGTGTGTGTGTGGTGTTACAAATTTCATGCATATCTAATAATTAAATTTAATATTGAGGAGACGCCATCTTTGCTTTACGTCACCCAAGGGCAGTTCCAGGGGTGGGTGCTGTTTGTGTACCACTGTTACCTTGGCACCGCTTTTCTTCTGTCTCCCATCGTGGTCAATGTGTGGTTTGAGCTGTACGCTCTTCCTTCTGTTGGGGTTTGACAGGTTCAAAAGATAACAAAACTGAAGGTTTGTTATCGTGGCAAACAAAGCCATTCTGAGTACTGGCTTTACACGTGGCCAAAATGGAATCACAAGCGCATGCGAAAACATACCGTACTTTTCTGTGTATAAGACTAGGTTTTTTATTCAAAAACCATGTTGGAAATTGGGGGTCATCTTATACGTGGATAGTGCATTGTGGGGACGTGGGACTGGTTGTTGCTACAAGTCAGAGAATGTTATTGGTGGCAAGGTATTGGTTGTTGCTGTGGCAATTGGTGGGCGATTTGCTACTTTTGTCGATGAGGGAACAGAGGATAGGTGGTTTTCGCGATACATGCGAGCGGAATTTTTAGTGTGGTGGGTGAGCAATTTTCGGCCATCCCCCGCTAAAAAAAATCTCAACAGCTATGGGCAATCCTCCCCCCAAAAAGCTCAACAACTTGGGGGAACCCCCCCCCCCGTTTTCTAAATTTTGAGTCCCCCAAAATAGGGGGTGTCTTATACACGGAAAAATACGGTACTGGTTTTTTCTTCCTAAGGAGGTGATTTGAGATGGGTTGCAAAAGCTGGAAAATGTTGAGGCTTCCCCCCCCCCAAGAGTGGGGCAAACCTCTCTGGAGGGGAGTACAGGTGCCAGCCTGTTTTCTTCCTTGACAAGAAGGTGTTTTGGGACTCAGCTACATTAGTAAAAAAAAAACAACAACCCAATGTTTTGAATGTATTACAAATGTGCAACACCAGATGGGTCTGGAATGCAATAATAATAATAATAATAATAATAATAATAATAATAATAATGATGATGATGATGATGATGTGATTTTTCTATAGTGATTTTTTCTTTTGTTATAATGATTTAATTTCTGACTTATTTATAGCGTGTGTGTTTTCCCCCTGTGTGTAGATCCAGCCTTGGTAAGGCAGAGAAACAGAATGCCAGCCTTTGTGTTGATCAGGGTTTGATGAACAGACAGCTGCATTTCTTGATGCCTGTTTTAAAAGTTGTGGCGACTGGTGCCCCATGGAGCTTCTGGGGTAGAAGGCAGGAAGGCCAACAGTAGTGGGAGCTGGAGCGAATGATGAGCAGAGCCAACGAATTCTGGCTCTGTGCCTGTTCTTCTCCTTGATGGGTTCTAAGAGGGCGACCCTGAGACTAAGGAGGGGGGAGCTGACAGCTAGGGTCACCCCCTGGATTAGCTGTAAGTGGGAAGGCAAGCAGGTAGGGGCCAGCTGAGGTTGGTGGAGTAGCTGTCCGTTCACTACTATGGTACAGTCTCCACTGCAGAGAGCCCAAAGCATTCATCCAATTCCATCCAATTTTATTGTTGTTAGCCGCTCTGAGCCCAGCTTCAGCTGGGGAGGGCAGGATAAAAATAAAAATTTATTATTATTTATTATTATTTATTATTATTGCATGGCAAGTTCCCGCCTCCCAACAAGAAATAAAGACACAGGACACAAGAATTCGAGTTAATGGGTCGAATTAGGCCACAACTTTATTGATTACAGGAATTGAGCGGTATTGGCCTTAGGCATTGGTCCTAAAAACTAACCGGCTTCAGCCTGCATGCTTGAAGGCCGGTGAGGGTTAACTACCAGTGGGAGGAGTCCTGCTGAGGCACGTCAACTAGGACCTCCCCCTGGGGTCACCGCGTGGGGGCGTGCCGTGGGCCCACACCTCCATAGGCTTAGGACGAGGCCACGCCCCCTGGAACCCTTTACCAGACTACCCTTTTGTTCGGGGGAAGGTGATGGCGCTCCTCCCCCCCTCATCTGCATAACAATAGAACAGTGCCCCCACCAATGCCTAACCGCCAATGCCGTGGAGTTGTGACGGTTTGCTACGAGGTAGGCGAAAACCAATTGGATGGTACCAAACTGCCAGTTGGAAAAATTCCTACCAGGCCCCTTGACGGCGACCAACCGAAGCCCATAGCAACGTCAAAGAACCTAGCCTGAAGGGTGGGAGGGGAGGGGAAACCGGGTCAGCTGCGGCGTGGGAAAAAGGGAGACCTTCGGCCGCACCAGACCTAAGTAGGCGATTGGCTGGCTGGGGTATGGGATTGGCTGGGGTATGACGTGTCCGAGGATTCCCTGTTATCGCGTGGGGCTGGAGCCAGCCCCGCGATTGTGGGGAGGGGTGTGAAGCCCGCAACCCCACCTCCTCCCTATCTCGGAAGTGGCTTTATCCCCCCCATAGAGAAAATATACAAAGGTTAATATTAAATATCCAATATCCAATATATTTTAATCAAAGATAGAAGAAACTAATCTAAATAAAAGTGCAAACACAAAGGAGAGCAGGGAATAGGGGAAAATAAAAAGGAGAGCTTCTGATCCTTCTTCTGTCAGCTATATAGAGAAAATAGATCAAAGCATCTACTTCAAGATAACACCCAACATTTCACTTTCTACAAACCAATATATTCTTCAATCCTCAAACCCAGATATCATAAGTTAATTTTCTTCTTCACGCAAAAAGCCTATAAGGGGTTTCCAATCTTTAGCAGATATCAACAAAGCGTGTGAGAGCACGTGTTGCAGTGGGGGCCGCCAGGGCACTCCAAAGTTGGGGGCGGGCTACTTGATCGTTGGCCACTGATGCGATTAGGGCTTCCCTTGTTGTTGGGAAGAAGTTAATGTTGCCATTTGTTGATTGACAGCCAGAAATGCTAAAACTCCTTGCACGAGGCTAGGGCTTCCTCTTTTAGCCCGTGCATCAGATTGCCCGTTCCCGCCTCCCTAGAATTAGGATTGTTCGCTTTGACCTTGCTATGCCTGTCATGGGGTCGTCTGCTCTTGGGGCAGGGGCCCGGTAGGAATTTTGTCCATCTGGCTGATTGGCTGGGGCCATTTGGTTTTTGCCTACTGCGTAGCAAATCGTCACAACTTGTAAGGTTGCGGTTAGGCATTGGTTTATAGATTGGTTGGTTGAGGGGAATGGATTGGCTGTGCCTGCCCCTCTAATGCTGCTGCTGCAAGGGATTCCGTTAAAGGAATTGGGGGCTAACTATTGCTTGTCCACTCTGTCAAGGGGGCTCGGGCCATAGCAATGAGCTCCTGGTTGCATTTGGGGTGAGGGCAGGTTCCCTGCTCCGTCGCTACCCCAAAGTGTATTCCCCTATTCTGACTTTCGCATTGTGCAGAATGTCAGTCTGTCCCCCATGGTGGGGGCAGATAGTCACAACCAATGCCTAAGCAACCACTCATAAATTTGTATTTTAATAAAGTTGTGGCCAAAATTATGCCAAAAATCTTAAACAAAAAATTCTGTGTGATGTGTGAGTTATTGGGGTGGCCCTGGGGACCTCAACACACAATGGTTTTCCTCTGATTAAACACGTCAACTTTGCCATCTCTGCTAAGTCAAAAAATTGTAACTACCATTCCTCCAAATCTTGCCACTGTGATTAGGTATTGAAATAATGTTCCATATTCAGTTTCTAATTGTATATCCAACTGTATTTCCTAGCAGGAAAATTTCTGCTTTCACTTGAATGGTCACATTTAAAATCTTCTGCATCGATGTTTGTATTTGTTTCTGACATTTCTTAGCTTTTTCCACCAAGCATGATAAAATGTCCCTTTATATTTTTCACACATCCAGCAAACATCTGAAACACCTTTATAATGTATAATGTATGAACAATTTCCAGTAAGGCTTTAGTGTCTATGATCATAATTGGAAGCTCTTCTGATTAGAAGTTGGATAGAGATTGGTGCTGATAACACAAAGGTCGCAGGTTCGATTCCCGTACAGGGCCCCCTATAAAATATTTGAGGAATACATGAAAAAAGTCGGTGCTGGAGCTTAAAAATTAATATGCAAAAGTTTAAAAGGCGCAAGGAGATAGGATAATATTATACTAAGGATGGAATAACAAATAAAGTGAGTAACGCAACAATATCAAAAATAATAGTAGGCAAAGAAGATCGCACACAGGTAGAGGGAAGTACTGGGTTGTGGGGGAGGGAGGTGAAGGGATTAATTGAAATTGTTAAATATTGGTATAGGATTTAAGAGATTTAAATTTCCGTAAAGATTCTATAAGGAAAGCAGAAAGAAATATGAGGTAAAGGTATCGGAGAGGAGATCAGTGTAAATGAAAACATGAGACGTATGGTTTTGCTATCAATGATTTTATTTTGGAGTTGTCTGTTGTAAAGAATGTATATTATGTGAATAAAATAACAAAGATGGGGAAAAAATATTTGAGGCCAATGTGAGCATTGTGTCATGTGATTGATCATGCGGGGTGGGGCTTACCAGCCTGCCCGCCCCCCAAAATTTTATTCAAGTTGGCACCCCTGATGGTATCTCCTCTGAGGGAGGTGCTATGGGAGATTTCAGTAATGACTCCCCGTTTGTGGAATGCTCTCCCCAGGGAAGTAGCCCTTGTACTATCATGGACAGCCTTTAGGCACCAGGTTAAGACACTTTTGCTTACCTTTGGGCTGCTAAATTGCATTG